TCCCTCCCCTCCCCCCCNCCCCCCCCCCTCCGCCGACCCACCGCCAACATCCGGTCGCCAACGAACGTCCGGCTCAAATGGCGTCCGCAACACCCTCGCTGCTATCTGCACTTCCAGGCCGGACGACCTCCATGCCCAAGTCTCCGGTACCAGGCAGTGAGCCGCCCATCCCACGTCGCTGGTACATCCTCCCGGACAGCATTCTTGCCGGAGGTGGGGCCGGATTTGTATCCTCCATCCTTATGTGCCCACTCGATGTTATCAAGACGAAATTGCAGGCACAGACGGTCAGGCATGGGCATATAGACTACCTCGGCGCAATTGGGACCGTCAAGCAAATATTGGAGCGAGATGGAGTGAGGGGGCTGTATAGAGGCTTGAGCCCAACAATGCTGGGATATCTCCCGACCTGGGCAATATACTTTACCGTGTATGACGGATTCAAGCGCACGTTCGGCGTTACCCCTCGCATGCATGAAAAGAAGGGTGCGTGCCTGATTCTGCCGCAAGTGGACAATGTTGAGATAGAACAGGCTACGCCATCTCCAACCTCTGGTTCCTGCATATTGCAGCGGCTATGACAGCCGGTGCCACAGGAACGATCATTACAAACCCTTTGTGGGTGATCAAAACTCGGTTCATGGTCGGTCCCTTCCATCAATTTTACATCCATTTGATACTGACCTCTCCCTTAGACCCAGCCTCATACCGAGCCACCGTATCGGTCCACCTTACAAGCTGCGTACTTGATCTACCGAGCAGAAGGCTTTCGTGCGTTCTACAGTGGGCTCGGGCCGAGCCTCCTAGGCGTGTTTCACGTGGCAGTCCAGTTCCCTCTCTACGAGCGATTAAAAGCATGGCAAAGTACGCTATCTTCCTTTCTTACCCAAGTGGAAGATACCGATCTGAATCTGGTGTCTCTAGTTGAGAAGACCTCGGAGCCTCTGTCCGCTTATCAACTGCTGATGTGCTCCGCCGTCTCCAAAGCCGTTGCCTCCTTTGCAACGTACCCCCACGAAGTGATTCGCACGCGCATGCAAGTACAGAGACGCACACCGCGAAATGGAAATGGGAACGGGAACGGGAATGGGAACGGAAGCGCAAAACCGCCTGCCAACGTGAACGGGAATGGGGCTGCATCCTCTCCAGCAGCCTCCAGCACCGTTCCCAGAACGCCCAATACTGCCCCGCGAATACAAGTACCTCTCCCCTCGCCCTCCGAACCGCAATATACCTCCATTGCTCAAACGTTCCTTAAAATCCTCGCAGATGAGGGCTGGCGAGGTCTATACAAAGGCCTGTGGGTGAACCTAATGCGTACAGTGCCGAACAGCATCGTGACGCTTGTCAGGTGTGTTTGATCCGTTTAATGTGCTTTGATGCAGGCTCATGGGATACTAGTTATGAGATGTTCATGAGGGGATTGAAGAAGTGGCATGAACAATAGTGTTTATGAGCGATGAGCCTTCGGACCGTTCGCCGGGTCTAAGCTAGGCTGGAGGAGCGGAATAATGCCCCGCTTCTTCTTCGACCCATCGCGAGGAGCACAAGACGAGGTAATGTTAGACCGACTCCCTCTAGACACCTAGACAAGAGCCTCGCCAGCAGGCGACCCCTTTATTTCGGCTCGACAAGCCCACCTCACGACGAAATACCTCCAACACTGCGCAAGCAACGGCACCCTATAACTCCGGTAGACGTTACCGGCCGTCCGCTGTCGGTACGACGCTACATACCTTTCTTGCTCCACTTTCAGAGTCTTGTACTCATTCGTTCCCGGTCTGCAATCACATCAAATTTGTAGCTTGTAGCGCTATACAGTACATATAGACAGATGTTTGTCTTAGTATTTAGGGCATGAAATGATGAAGCATTTGTGATTCTTGGAACAAAATATGTATACCTTCCCCGTTGGCTCGAGATTGGAGAAAGAGGGAGAAATGTGGGCACAGGAGCACAACACACGGCCTCAGTTTGCCGACGTACATCTACCGAACAAGTCTTCCAGCCCAAACTCTGCCTCTCCCCCAATCTCCGCCATGGGTCTGAGGAGCTCCAATGCGTAGTTCTTTCCCACATTATCACCTGGGAACAACGGAGGATCGACCCGTAGTTCGGAAAGCATCCTGCCCTGTTGCCAGCGCTCGTTTACCAGCAATTTCAAATCGCGCGGATTATTCTTGGACCACGGTACAGAATCTTGATCGACGCTCGAGGAGCCATATTCCTCATCCTGGACCCGCAGTTTGAAGGTCTGGAGACGAGGTAGCACTTCCTCGAGGAGTAGCTGGAAGATTCCTGTTGTGGCCGAATCCCCCCCCCTAACTGTCATCGTGACGTTCGCGACGTTCGGAATGATCGAAAAGAATGTTCGCATAGTGGCAAAATACTGGGCAGCTGATGGAACTCTGACATTCGGAAATGAGGGCGCCATCTCTACGCTTCGTAGAGAAGGCATAAGGAACTGGGCCAACCAAGCGTAAGAATTTGAGCGAGTAGTGTTGCAAACTTTGATGGTGGTGAGATTGGGTAGATATATGATCTCCTGATCTCCTTCATGAGGAAAGGTTGGGGGTAGAGCAAAACAGTCGATGCTGAGCGATCTGAGCTCTGTCAACCGCTTGAAGAACGTGATAAATGGTGTCGAGTTAATCGAAGTCGGGATTCCGACTTCACGGCAGCATTCAAGGGTAAGATGAACGAGCCGACTGACATCCAACATCTGAGTGAGTATCGGCATACCATCCAAGTAGAGGTGCGTTAGGCTCGGTAGCAAAACTCGCTTGGAAGGAACAATCCGGTCCTCAAGCGTAAGATGCTCATTTATGCATCTGCCCGTTTTGATGTGTAATTCATTCAGGAGTGGTGCACAGCGGCCCAAATCCAAGATCGTTCGTTTGCATGTGTGCATGCATCCCGCTACGGAAAGCGAACCGAGCCGCTGAGAGGTCTGTCGTATGATCCGATATCGGGGACACGGTCCCTGCAAGGTGGAGTATGCGTTGCCCGGCTTCCCCAAAACGAGATGCAGCGGCAGGTTGATGGACCGATTCATCCAGTATTCCAGCTATGGCGTACCCTTACAAGAAGCATCATTGGCAACGTGATGTGTCCAGAGCCTTGGGGTGTCGATAGTAAGCTGGCGCCAATGGTGACACACTTGCGAGACAGCTATCTGAATGTTATATGTCCTTCTAGTCGGCCTTCTATCGATTGACGAGTTGCTGAACGGGCGAGTGTTGAATGCAAATTCGAATATGTGAAGCAGAATCTCGTCGGGCATAGCTGCTATAGGCTGAGGATACATGATTTCCGTCGGTATGTCATCCAGCTTCTTGCGCAACTCGTCTATCTCATCGCAAACGGCATACAGTTCAACCTGAAGTGCCGATTCTTGGCTTTCCTCAATTTTATCTGGCGTTCAAGTTCCAAGTGTTGTTCCGTTATTACTTTCCTCCTGCACAGGTGGGTCAGTCTCGGCTCTGCCTTGGACATGCTCTGACTTGCGTTGGGCCTTTGAGCATTCTTTCCTCCTTTCTCTTAGAATCATCGACATATGAGGGCACTTTCATGTAGTACCACCATTCGCACCCCATCTCGATGACAGTTGATTTCCGTGGTGGGAGGAGGATAGAAGCTTCGTGATGTCGAGAGTCACCGCGTGTTGCAGGTAAATTTGCTGGGTCAGGGTAGTCAGGGTAAGGCAGACAAAGGTTACCCGGCTCATACCTGGCAAAGACCACATTGCCCCATATGGCTGCAATGTTAGCTCGTTGTACCTAGAGTAGCTGTAATGAAAGAAATGTTACCTGATCACGATGAGAAAAGAACAGAAGAGGGTACTTATGAGTTGAGTAGCTGTACTGACCGAAATGGCGGGTACAACAACTCCATTTCTTCAACAGGTTAATCTAATCTTAACAGGCATTTAGGTCATCGCGAGCTGTCTAAACCCTCCCTCCTCACAGATCGATCTCAACGTCCCCACCATCCGTGTCCCCGCCCACATCCCCGCCCATGTCCCCATCGCCGCCGCCTGAGCTGATCACCACCGAAGTCCGCTCCATCTGTAGCAGAGAAGAAGTTAGCAGTAGTCAATAATGAATGAATGAATGAACTTGCCCGCGTTCTCCGCCAGCTTGAGCATCGTGGGCCCCCACTTCTTCAAGAAGTGCTTGATGGAGGGGCCGTGCTTCTCCCAGCCAGCGGAGACCTTGCCCGCCATCCGCCCGACGGTGTGCATGATGTGCAGACCGGCGGCGCTCTTCCCATGCTCGACGTCGACTGCGTTCTTCCCGCGCTGCTTTTCCTTCTCCCAGACAGCGCCGACGATCTTCTGACGCTGGGCGCGCATGCCCAGCACCTTGCGGACCTTTGCTTCCTCGAGCTCGACATGACGCAGCTGCCTGCCAAGCTGGTACGCAGGTTCCTTGATCCGGTTGCACTCCTCCTTGAACTCCTCCAATCGTGTAGACCTCGAGGTTGTACTCGTGTTCCTTCTCGTCCTCGAGTTCCTCGATGGTCGGCGTGCGCGGGCGTCTGGCGGGAGGAGTGAACTTGTTGCCCTCGTCGGTCATCTTGAGGTCCTCAGGTCGGGCGACGGTGTGCCTGGGACCCTCCTCACTGTCCTGCTAGCGTGTCAGCCTTGATCATGAAAGTACCGGCCATCTTGGCCGGTACAGCTACTCAACTCACTGCTCCAACAGAGCCCCTCTCCAGCAAGAGAATGAGAGGATGCACCCCAAGCATCACCCTCAGCCCCGACTGCTCCTCCACCTGCCTCAAAGCAGCGATCAGCTCCGGCACGCTGAAGCCGCCCATCTCCGAGGCATCCTCCCTCCCCTGTCCCTCTGCTCCTCCGCCGCTGCTGCCCGCCGCTTCCGCCTGCTTGCCCTTGCCCAGATCGGTGGCAACAACGTTCCTTCAGCTCGTCGCAGCGCTAGGTTCATCCGCCGCGCCGTCCGTGCCGAAGACCGACTCCGCATCCTTGATGAGGGACAGAACACTCTTCGTGTCGGAGATGGCCTGCGAGATGACTGAGGTCGAGTCGAGGCCGGCGTCAGACATGCTGTGTATTGATATTGTAAGTGAATTATTTCTTGATGATGGTGGTTTGGAAAGAAGAGGGGCAGTGAGAAGAGCGCGCTACATATGGTCAGGGGTAACGTGAATTTACGCGCGCCGGGTTCGCACCTGTTGTTTAGGGCGGTCCCTATCCGACTCGCAGCTGCTGCAACGAGGCTACCTCAAGGCATAGGCGAGGCTGGCCCAGCAGAAGGCGGATATCATCAGAGTGCGATGAGAACCCGACCTGTGAGTTGAGTAGCTGTACCGGCCGAGCACGAGGCTGCAGCCAGCACAGCGACAGGTGGGTGTATGTTGTCGAAGTGGGAAATCCAAACGGTGTCCAGCTATCCATTGTCCGAGTTGGCATTATCATTTCAGAAGTAAAGCGCAGAGGAGTGGAGTAAAGCTGAGCTGGACAACAGTGACAATGACGACGAGCAGCACAGGGACGACGTCACATGAGTGAATTTGGACTTGGCCAAATCAAATCTAGAGGGTGCAGGTCCTAACCTCCAAGCCCATTGCCTCAAGCCTCTCTCCCTGCCGTTAACTATAAACCACCATCTACTGAAACTACAATTTTGCTACCAAACGCAACAGTGTCGTCAAGACCTCCCTCGTAAGTAGCTAACGGATTCTCACAGGCTAAAGTTGCATGCTGATCGAGGTTTCAGTAACCCTATCCGCCTCATCGAAATGACTGCTCGCGAGGTGCAGCCAGGTTGAGTCACTCGTGATACAGATGACGGGGGTCTTGGTGAGCACCAATAGCTCCTTCTAATAGGACTGAAGCTGACCTTCTGCTAGATATTGGCACCGATCTCTCATTTCCTGGTCGTGCAAGCCCCGAGCAAGTGACCGATGGGGTTGCTCAGGGCAGAGAGGAGCACATTGGAGGTTTCGGTCGGTACAGTTACTCAACTCACTTCGCCTCTTGTGTGCCAAGGGGCCCAGCAGCCGCCACTGCTGTCACACTGTCGATGGGATCTGCCAGCTCTGTGGATACTGTCGACCGCTTCGCTCTGCGTCAGGGCTCAATCGCCGCCAATGCGGTCAATACCCCGACATCCACCAGTTCTGTGGATGATCTCAGCCGTTACAGCTACTCAACTCAAGATTCGGATGTTCTCTGCCCTAGGGAGGACGAAATCGCTCTGTGCCTGCAACATAGCCCGACTGTCGTCACTGCAGTCAATCCCCTTGGATCCGCCGAGCCGGCATATCTGAGGACCTCTCTCTATACCTCGACAACCGTCTCCACCTCTGGCAACACTGCAGCTGCTGTGCCAGAGGGCGCCGTGACGGCTCATGTCTCTACCTCTTGCCCGACCCGAGCCACAAGCCGCCAGCTCGAGTCCGTCAACGGCAACGTAGTCACCTGCTCCTCAACTTCTCCTCCGCCCTCCTACTGCGATCTCCCACCTGCCTCTCTGAACATCACGCCAACTTCTAACGCTACCTTCCGCCTCACTACTAGCCCTTCCCTCCAGAGTCTTGCATGCAACGAGAACACCACAGAAGACGTCTTACCCATCTACATCCGATATGAAGATGTCCCGCCCATATATGGAACTTTGCAGATCCCCAACGAATACACGCACCTCGCACCTCTCCCCTCCTCACCGTCATCTTCTGCAACCTCACTCCCTCCTTCACCCACGCCGTCTCCTCTGCCATCAACTGCCCCGACCCGCACTTGACTTCATCCCAAGCGCATGCCGTTCCGCGAGCGCTTCAACTTGGAGGAAGGGGCCATGGAAGCCGCAGCCAAGGAGGTGGCTCGCAAGCGGGTTGAGATGGAGATGGCTAGCACGAGTGCTTGCAGCCGTCTTGGACTACGCCGGGCTGGACGTGCCATTCTGGGCGCGGCGTAGATGGGGAACCTCTTGCCAAGGTAGCATGTACTAGCAGCTCTTTTGGATACTTAAACAACTTGTCTCTCATGCTTATTCCCACCTTTTCCATCTTTCTCTTCTATTCTCTCCAGTCCAGTCCCTTTTTGGGTTAAACCCACTGTCATTTTAGTAGCCTAGAAAGGCAATATCATGTACTTGGCCATCGTCTGGCCCGTAGCTAACTTGTAATCCATTCTTTCAGAATTTTGGGCCCTCTCGCACGTGCTTCTCCGAGCTACCTTTCCTGAGCCAGCACAGGTAGCCTTGACCCCACAGCATGCGTATAATGCCACCTAGCCCCGTTGAACGAGCTTGGTCATGTCGAGGTGACCACGACCAACAAACATCTGCTGCTTCACGCGTCTGATCTGTGAAACCCGACAATCAACTTATCAGTTCAGTGACATCATCGGATATTGACGACAAGATTTTGCCCCAGATCGGGACTAGACGTCTTTCTCGACGGATTTCGTCTTGACTCGCGTTCGACATCATCTGGTCAAGTCTATCTGGATCAGCTGAAGAGCTTGGAAGGGTTAGAGCATGTGCAGGTATGCCCATTAGAACTCGTATCTCGAGCAACAGATCGCTCATATGCATCGACCAGGTCATCTTCATCCAAGCAATCTGCACTGGGACTTCACAGTCAATCCTTAGCATGGACAACCTCACAGAACATGCGTCGATGTTGTTGCTCGGAGTGCAAGAATGTCAGCTGGCCCAACGGGCTTCCCTGGACGGTGCAGGCGTACCCAAAACACCTCGCGCGGGTTCAAGAACGAGCCAGCTGAGCTGCTCTGCATCAGAGCCAGGCGATACCTGTGGTCAATGAAGTTTGGGCATGACAAGAACAATGGCCGGGTGAGAGCCAGCAAGCAGCTCTATATATGGACGAGCCTATGGATGTGCACCATGAAGCACGCAAGGAAGAAGTGCACCTGTCTTCTGATATGACAAGTCCTCCTCATTCGCCCTTCAGCTGGTCTCATGACGATGCCCCTTCCTCTCCCCCGTCATCTCCGTCAGCTCCACCACCCCCACCACCTCCACCACCTCCACGGCCTCCACCAGCCCGTTCGATTCCACTGCCCCCACAACCAGTCTCCCATCCCGCTGCTGGAGAAGATTCAGCTGCAGCTTCGGTCCGTACGGCTACTCAACATGAGGTCACCGCTCATGAAGTGACAGCTCCGAGGCAGATTCCTGCCTCTCCGCCCCCGCCATCTTCTGCAGTCCTGGCTGCAAGATACTCTGCTCTTACGGCGATCGATTCTCAAGCAGACAATCTTGGAATCTCGATATCCAACTTGGACATACCGCCCGCGGACTTGGCGTTCCAGCCCGATGAACAGGATCGTATCACTCAATCTCCCCTCCAATGCTATTTCGATCTGCACCCGCAGGCAGGTGTTTGAGCAGTCTGTTTGCTCAATGTACACCTCCATATGCGATATGGGCTTCCTCATCTTGCTTGTGGGCTCACGGCGACAAGTCTCTACACTCTGCTATCCTTTTTAAACTTCTGTCTCCTCTCGCGGCACTCTCTCCTCAAAACGCACCACCTCGTACCCTGCACACTATCTACAGGTGGCTACGAATGCTCAATCGTTTCGAAGTCAAAACCTTATGCCCGAAATGCTGGACGTTCGAGGGCTTCAATGCCTATCTCACCGATCCCAAATTTCTGGATGAAATGGGCGCTCTAAACACCGACAACCAGGAGGACTCCGACCAAGACTGGCAACGGTACTGCCCCAGGTGCCATGTTCCTCTCTACAAACTGGCACCTAAGTCAGCAATTCCTCGAGCTCTGGTCCAGGCACCATATGACTTACTCAGTCTACAGCTTGCAGAATTCCTTGGGTAACCTGGGTTTGAAGAAGTGTGTGAGAGCTACCTGAACGATGGGTGTTCTCCTGGCACATACGCGGGGCTTTAAGATGGAACAGTCTGGCAGAGCATGCGATGCCCGGACGGGAGTCGCTTCTTCCCACGAAGCAGGCAAGAAGCAGTCCAACAGGGCGAGCTTCGGCTGGGCATGCTATGTTCATGCGACTGGTTCAACCCTAGCCAATCAAGCATCGCCGAAACGCACTCAAGCGGTCCTTTGTCTGTGTGCATTGCTAACCTCCCCCCAGAATTGCGGTGAGTGAGATATCTAGCGGTGAAGCGTTCACCTTTGACTCTTTCCAGGTTTCGCGTTCATAACCTCATCCTTATCGGCATCCTGCCCGGACCCAAAGAACCGACTGCTGAGCAATTGCAGAGGTTCCTCAGACCTTTCGTTTGCTACAACTTTGGCAAGATGGAATCAGAATCAAGACACCTTTACATCCTGAAGGTGAGTAATGCTCGGTCGGTACAGCTACTCCATTGATCCAATACAGGTCGCCTTGTACGAGTCGCCCTCCTCGGGGTTATCTGCAACCATCCCGCCCTCTGCAAGATGGTTGGGTTTGCCGACCACGGGCACAGCGCGAGGCCCTGTACGCAATGCGAGATCTCTCGCGTTGACATGCTCAACGAAGGCTGGAAGACGGATGGTATTCCGCTCCGCGACGGTCAGCTCCACAAGTGCCGAGCAGCGCGCATGTATCCCTTCGACCAGGCAAAGGTGTACAACAACCTCAAGGCAAAGTATTTCACTCGCTACGGTGTGCGCTGGTCTGAGTTCAACCACCTCCCTTATTTCGACCCAGTCACGATGAGCATCATCGATCCCATGCATACCTTCCTGCAAGGTATGTGCTGTTTCTCCCCGAGGTCCAGTGTTCTCACATTGGATAGGTCTCACCAAGACACTTTGGTACCACGTATGGATCAAAGGCGGGAAGAACGAGACGAAGATTCTCCGAGAAGTCACCAAGGGCGGTACAAGGCGAGAAATAGATGAGATTCATGACGTGCTAGTGACTTTCGAGATGCCAGTTTGGTTCGCTCGGCTTCCGAAACAAGTTGGGTACCCTGGCGGAGGAAGCCTGACTTCCGATGAATGGAAGTGCCTGCTTATCTTGTACGGCCCTGCAGCAGTGAGCGCTTTACTCTGGGACGCAAGCATGAACTGAGCTTCTTTAGATTCCTCCTATTCTGTGTAAAGTGGGACACCCCGAAATGGCTGCGAACTACCTCACTCTCGCGGCTGCCCTCAAGATTTTCATGAGGCGGGAAATCACGGAGAGCGAGTTGTTGAGGGCGAAGGAGCTATATGCGCAGTTCTTTCAAGGATTCGTTCAGGTGAGCCCGTTTTGGAGTTTCATGTACTGGCCCCTGGTCGGTACTGCTACTCAGCTCATAGGAGGGCAGCTGTACCGGCTTTGGCCGGTACTGCTACTCAACTCATAGAAGGGCAGCTGTACTGGCTTTGGCCGGTACAGCTGCCCTCAACTCATACACGTCTGATACGCGCTTTCACTTACTGATTTGCGCACAGATCTATGGAGCAGAGAATGCGACACCTACCATGCACTGGGTAACACATATGCCGGAACAAATCCGGCGGTATGGGCCCATTCACGGGTTCTGGACTTTTCTGTTCGAAAGACTGAACAAAGTCCTCAAGAATGTGCCAACCAATGGGCATAAGGGTGGGACGATCGAGATCTCTTTTGCACGTGCATTCAAGCGAGAGATGAGTCTCGCACGAATGGTGAGTCTCTTTCGGGAGGTTCATGGCTCACTGACATGACTGCAGAACACCGTACTGGCGGCTCAGCACCAAGATCCTCTCGCACGGTTCTATGCAACGGAGCTGCATGCGCAAACAGGCGAGCTAGCACGCACAGGCACGTTAACCGCTATGGCTGTCGAAGCTGAAGACCTCGCGCAGAGGCGTTCCATGCACAAGAGCTGCATCCCCATTGGGACTGGCAAGGAACCAGACCTGATGCTATCGCCCGCCCAGCAAGAGCAAGAGCTGGATTGGTACTGCCGCGTGTATCCCAGCCTTGCTATCCACCATCCCGGCGATCCCAAAGCACCGTGGCGAGCAAACTTCCTCAATCATCGTGGGAAGTTCTTTCAAGAGCTTCGCTTGAATGGAAAGCGCATAGTCGTCGCACCAGAGTGCAAGTACAGCAAGAGTGACTCGCTTGTACTTCTTCAATATCAGCCGGGAACGCAATGGGTCGGCGAGCTGCGCGGCGTCTTCCAGCATCTCCAGGAGGGAGTCAACCCACCGGAGACGTTCGCTCGGGTGGATTGGCTTGTCCCCTTGCAAGATACGCTCGAGCACGCCGACCTCTATTGCGACTTGTGAGTGCTCTTCTGGCTTCATGTGATGTAGCTGTGCTGGCCATGGGTCGGTACAGCTACCCAACTCATAGATGGGCAGCTGTACTGGCTATTGGCCGGTATGGCTACTCAACTCATAGCTTCTCGAGCTGACGCATCTCCCAGGAGAGAACTCGAAGTGGACTTTTGGCAGCACGGCCGCTTTCAAGGCCAGGGGGACTTTGGTCCGGACATGCTCACATTGGTCAAGGATATCTGGGGAGTAGCTGCAAGATGCATGATGAGGGTCGGAGGTCGACGTATCTGGATCACGATGGGATTAAGCAAGGTACGTCTAGTGCACGAAATTGATTGGACGGTGAGCTAATGTGTCTACAGAACGGACGGACTTTGTAGGTACAAATAGGCAAGCAATGTTGAAGCTTACGCTACTAGTCATGGATGCTGATGCGGCAACACGATAGATGAAATAATGTATGAAGTCGACCTGCAATTAATGAAGTGAGCATTTCTGTTGAAACATGTTGAATCTGCGGCGCTTACTATTTCAGAGCACCGTATCTTTCGATTGGAACAGCTACTCAACAGGTAGACTGTGGTTTGCTAGTTCAAAGGGGCAATCGGCGCAATGAGCGACTTGGCTATTTGATCTGCGCGCTCGCCCAAGGAAGGAGGCCAGGTGCTCTCACGTTTCCAGTAGGCCTCGTCCCACTTTGGGAGCTCGTTTCGCTTCCACTCCTTGTCAACCATGAAACCAAATGGAATGTTAGTGGGCATGCGATCGGAGGTTCGACCGAGGTTGAAATGCTTCTTCTCTGGCTTGCTTTGCTGTCTGGGTCTCTCGGCACGCCACTTTTTCAGTCGATGCCAGAACTGATCATAGATGAGTTCATCCTCATCTCCTTGCACGATCGAATTGCACACATTCACATTCATCCACATAGGACGCTTGATCTCCCAGACATCCAAGTTCTCGTCCAGGCGCTCGGCGTCTGTCAGCTGACAGGGTTGCACTGCGGCAAGTCTGTCCCTCCACTCCTGGCTGTTGACACCATCCTCGTCACAGGACCATGCTTCACTGACCCATTCCTCATTCACCAGCTCTAGAGCGACGTTCGCATGCACAAGATCATTGTCTTCACAGAATGCGAGCAATCCTTTGCGAGCCTGCATCACAAACTGAATGAAGGTGAGCACGCAATGTTGCGAATGGCTTGTATGATGACTTACTCCTTTATGACGCTCCGCTCGCTTGCTCCTGCTGGATTTTCTTGCTCGCGACTGATCTCCGTCAAGCTTATCTTTGTTCTGCTGCAGTCAGATACCCTTCATGCCCGACCAAGAGCCCTGAGCAAGGTCGATGAGGACGTTCTTGTCAAGCCAACGGGTGCAATAAGCTGGAGGGACGAGGCCGTGCTCGACCTGGGTTGTTTCCTGTGAGTTGAGTAGCTGTACCGGCCTGAAGTGCGCACTGATCTTCTCTTGATTACTCTTCATGACTGCTGCTGCACGCGCTTGGATGACGAAGTTATCTTTGAAGTTAACGTGCTTGGTGAAGTCCGGAGTGAAGAACGGGCCGTCTCCCACATCTTCATCTCTTGGTGGACCACCAGCGCTTGGCATCGTACAGCCCTTCCCTCCGTTACCCACAGGAATGTGCATGACTCTCAGCACTTCAGCCTTATACCAGTAAGCATTAATCTTATGCCTGCGCAGGACGATTTGCACACCTGAAGAACCTTCTTCATCAGTCTATCCATGTCGGACCACATCTCGTCTGGAAGTTGCGTCACTTGATCGTTCTTCACCCTCTCGATGTAGCGATCCTCATCCTCTGGCCCATGGACGACCTTCAATGTAGGTTTCACTTTCGATCTAGCCTTCGACTTGCGCTGAGATGGACGTACAGACTCTTCTGTGTCGGCCCCATATCCTCTGTCATCGGCCATGCGAGGGATGGGAGTGGGCGAGTGACGCAGCGACTCCGTGGGTGTACACTGGGTGTGTGTGACGATGGGAGGATCCGGCATGTGGGAGGGGCCAGTGGGAGGCAGGAGGAGACTGGATGGTAGGAGGAAGGGCACGAACATGTGAGTTGAGTAGCTGTACCGGCCGAGTAAGGAAAACTCACTTATCTCCTGCAGGTCGAGCTTGCAACCTCTGCGTGATCTCTTGTATCCTCTCGCCTCTTGCCAGCTGCACCGGGTCAAGGCTGCGCACGTTGTACGTACGAGTCAAAGTCTGCAACTCTTGGACGAGCACCATCGTCTCAAGAAAGAATGGGTCGAGCGACGAGAGGGCCATGTCGACTGTAGCCAGAGGTGCACGAGAGATCTAGAGGAAAGAATACGGGCAAGTACACCTTGATAGGGTAAAAAAAGGTGATTTGCGTAGCTAGGACAGGCGGGAAATAGATGGAATACCATCATGATGAATGAAATAAATGGGCCCGTGTCTGGGCCTGATGCGGGATTTTGTCAATCCCGATCTACTGCATGGGGTGAATGTTACCTGCGCGCACTCAGAACAAGTAAGGACAGGATACATTAACACCCAGCCAGAGCAGGCCATTACAAGTAGGTTGTATCTGACTATACTAGGCAACTGCAGAGTAGGCTTTCCTACCCTGTGTCAGGTAAGCTTCACCCACCTGCATCACGTCAGCACAGTGACCCCCTGACACGCAGTGAGTGTACAAATCCTGGGCGGTAAGCGGCCAAATGGCCGCTTTGGCTGGCGGCTGTGCCCGGAACCATATGTCAGGACCCGTTAGGGTCCATGGAAAGAATACCTCCGTAAGGGTCTGGTTTGATCCCGGTTTTAGGGTCCAGTTTTGGTGGCTTCTAATTGCCCCCAGTTCCACCAGAAGCACATTTATGCTTCTTCTTGGCCTTAGGAAAAGTAGAATAGAATAGGCCAATGGCCTAAGCAATCTAATAGAACATTCTTTTTCTTCCACTGTCCCTGCCTTGCTTGCTGGCATCATGGCATGCCGGAACCAGGCCTTTGGGTTCCCATTGTGATTGGGCCAGCAAGGCTGGTTGTCATGCTAAGGCCCAGTTTTGGGGAACCAAAGGCACCTAACTGGGCCTTAGCACTGGCCTTCGGTTGCCCTGGTCCCATGGCTGTTCAACTGCCTTAAACTTGCAACTTCTGCATCAAGTCAAGTAATTCTCTTTCCACATTTCCCCTCACCCCAGCTTGACTTTTCTTTATGTCTTTAAATTCTGCTTAACTTAGCAATGTCTCAGCATGTCACTTGCAGCAGTGGACCTGCTCCTGACTGGAGTAATGAAGATTACCCTCTGGAGCACATCAAGATCCTTGCTGCTGTGGTGAAAAAAAGCCATACAAGACCTCTGGCCTTCTTCCATCAAAGAGAGGACTGCATGGGTGAAGAATCTTGGGAGAGCTTGTCACTGCTTTCCAGGTAAGAACATCCCCCATCCTCCTCCCACTTCTTTTTGGCTTACATCATACTAGGATGCCATCCACACCCTTGCCCAGGAGCATCAAGATCAGTTTGCATCCCTCTCTCCCACCCAAATTGAGTACATGGGGTTAGACCTCCAGCAGCTCTGGTTGAGCTGCCAAAAAGGCAAGGCAAAAACTAAGGTCAGTCCCAGTTGTGCTGGTTGACACCTGGTTAGGTGTTAGGGCAACACAGGCTGACTAAGTCTGCTCACCTAAGAGTGCCAAGAGTCTAAGCAGGCAACAAGGAAGTGGAGTAGACCTGATGACTAAG